TCTAGCAAACTAGTAAGATTGTCTCAACCAATGTTCAAGAAGGGACCTTTTCCCTTAATTCAGATTACAACCCCTCACTTTCAGGTATTTGAAAAGGAAATCATCTTCCAAATATCACTATTTCTAAAACAAGTCATAGAAAGTTGGTTGCAATTTCAATTTAATCCTCCAGAAATGACAGAACAAATATTGCAACAAATATTGTGGTTAAACTCAAATATACTAATTGATTTAAAAAAAAATCTTTTTTTTTAGATAAAAAAAAAGAAGTAATCTTCGTAAATGATATTATCGGTAGGAATGGTGGAGTTATGTCGCACGTGCAGCTAACAAAAACATATGGAAATGTCTGCTCTACCCAAAATTACAACCAAATAATTGCAGCGTTACCGCAAAAATGGAAGAGGAAAGTGGAAGGAGGAAAAAGTAAGGAACTTGTCTGTCGGCCTTGCATTAAAGAACATAATTGGTTAAAGAAAATTGTGATAAAAAAGTTTTCCAGTTTAATTTAAGGACCAAAAGATTGACAGCCGTCCCATATAGATTGCAAATTAGTTGGGAAGAGATTTTTGACGTACCGATTCCATGGCATAGTGTTTATGAACTGTTACGTAAAACATTGCCGGATTCAAAACTTAGAATTTTTCAATTTAAATTCTTATATCAAATTCTCGCTACCAATAGAATGTTATTTGTATGGGGTATACAACCTTCCCAGCTCTGCAGATTTGGCTGTGAAGAGACAGAATCATTAGATCATTTGTTTTGGTTACTGTCCATTTGTAGCTTGTTTCTGGAAACAGGTCCAGGGAATGGCTGAAGGATTGCAATATTTGCATGGCGCTGACCCTGCAGATAGCACTACTGGGTGATCTGAAAAGTCATAGTCAATCGATCAATAATATAATAATACTTTTAGCAAAAAAAAATATTTTCAATTCACAAACTGTAGAAACAATGAGAATAGAAAGGTTCAGAACTTTTGTAAAACATCACAGTACAGTTAAAAAATATATGGCAAATAGAAATCCAATATGGATGGTGTTCAGAGATAGATGGGAGGTATTGAATGGAGCTGAAGGATGGGACTAATAACAAGATAACTAGTGTAAGACATGCTGTGTCCATAATAAATATATAGGTTATATATTGTGAGCTTTTGTGAAAGAGCACTGTTAGAAAGATATGGCATATCGAAGCATACCAGATGGACATCATGAAAATGATCGGAGGAAGTTCAGGAGTAAAAACAAACAAAATATATTTATTGACTGTGTCCATAAAATGTATATAGTATGTATAACCATGAAGTAGAGGCCTAAGCATTGTTGTTCACTAGTTTACTCCAATTAGGGAAGGGATGGTGGGGTTGGAAGGTAATAAAGGGAAATATATATACACTGCTCAAAAAAATAAAGGGAACACTTAAACAACACAATGTAACTCCAAGTCAATCACACTTCAGTGAAATCAAACTGTCCACTTAGGGAGCAACACTGATTGACAATAAATGTCACATGCTGTTGTGCAAATGGAATAGACAACAGGTGGAAATTATAGGCAATTAGCAAGACACCCCAATAAAGAAGTGGTTCTTCAGGTGGTGACCACAGACCACTTCTCAGTTCCTATGCTTCCTGGTTGATGTTTTGGTCACTTTTGAATGCTGGCGGTGCTTTCACTCTAGTGGTAGCATGAGACGGAGTCTACAACCCACACAAGTGGCTCAGGTAGTGCAGCGCATCCAGGATGGCACATCAATGCAAGCTGTGGCAAGAAGGTATGCTGTGTCTGTCAGCATAGTGTCCAGAGCATGGAGGCGCTACCAGGAGACAGGCCAGTACATCAGGAGACATGGAGGAGGCCGTAGGAGGGCAACAACCCAGCAGCAGGACCACTACCTCCGCCTTTATGCAAGGAGGAGCAGGAGGAGCACTGCCAGAGCCCTGCAAAATGACCTCCAGCAGGCCACAAATGTGCATGTGTCTGCTCAAACGGTCAGAAACAGACTCCATGAGGGTGGTATGAGGGCCCGACGTCCACAGGTGGGGGTTGTGCTTACACCGTGCAGGACGTTTGGCATTTGCCAGAGAACACCAAAATTGGCAAATTCGCCACTGGCGCCCTGTGCTCTTCACAGATGAAAGCAGGTTCACACTGAGCATGTGACAGACGTGACAGAGTCTGGAGACGCCGTGGAGAACGTTCTGCTGCCTGCAACATCCTCCAGCATGACCGGTTTGGCGGTGGGTCAGTCATGGTGTGGGGTGGCATTTCTTTGGGGGGCCGCATGTGCTCGCCAGAGGTAGCCTGACTGCCATTAGGTACCGAGATGAGATCCTCAGACCCCTTGTGAGACCATATGCTGGTGCGGTTGGCCCTGGGTTCCTCCTAATGCAAGACAATTCTAGACCTCATGTGGCTGGAGTGTGTCAGCAGTTCCTGCAAGAGGAAGGCATTGATGCTATGGACTGGCTCGCCCATTCCCCAGACCTGAATCCAATTGAGCACATCTGGGACATCATGTCTCGCTCCATCCACCAACGCCACGTTGCACCACAGACTGTCCAGGAGTTGGCGGATGCTTTAGTCCAGGTCTGGGAGGAGATCCCTAAGGAGACCATCTACCACCTCATCAGGAGCATGCCCAGGCGTTGTAGGTAGGTCATACAGGCACGTGGAGGCCACACACACTACTGAGCACCATTTTGACTTGTTTTAAGGACATTACATCAAAGTGGATCAGCCTGTAGTGTGGTTTTCCACTTTAATTTTGAGGGTGACTCCAAATCCAGACCTCCATGGGTTGATACATTTGATTTCCAATGATACTTTTTGTGTGATTTTGTTGTCAGCACATTCAACTATGTAAAGAAAAAAGTATTTAATAAGATTATTTCATTCATTCAGATCTAGGATGTGTTGTTTAAGTGTTCCCTTAATTTTTTTGGCAGTGTATTTTTAAAGGATATGAATGTATATGTGTATGTATATGCGTCTGTATGTACAGTGGGGGAAAAAAGTATTTAGTCAGCCACCAATTGTGCAAGTTCTCCCACTTAAAAAGATGAGAGAGGCCTGTAATTTTTTATCATAGGTACACGTCAACTATGACAGACAAATTGAGAAAAGAAAATCCAGAAAATCACATTGTAGAATTTTTAATGAATTTATTTGCAAATTATGGTGGAAAATAAGTATTTGGTCACCTACAAACAAGCAAGATTTCTGGCTCTCACAGACCTGTAACTTCTTCTTTAAGAGGCTCCTCTGTCCTCCACTCGTTACCTGTAATAATGGCACCTGTTTGAACTTGTTATCAGTATAAAAGACACCTGTCCACAACCTTAAACAGTCACACTCCAAACGCCACTATGGCCAAGACCAAAGAGCTGTCAATGGACACCAGAAACACATTTGTAGACCTGCACCAAGCTGGGAAGACTGAATCTGCAATAGGTAAGCAGCTTGGTTTGAAGAAATCAACTGTGGGAGCAATTATTAGGAAATGGAAGACATACAAGACCACTGATAATCTCCCTCGATCTGGGGCTCCACGCAAGATCTCACCCTGTGGGGTCAAAATGATCACAAGAACGGTGAGCAAAAATCCCAGAACCACACAGGGGACCTAGTGAATGACCTGCAGAGAGCTGGGACCAAAGTAACAAAGCCTACCATCAGTAACACACTACGCCGCCAGGGACTCAAATCCTGCAGTGCAAGACGTGTCCCCCTGCTTAAGCCAGTACATGTCCAGGCCCGTCTGAAGTTTGCTAGAGTGCATTTGGATGATCCAGAAGAGGATTGGGAGAATGTCATATGGTCAGATGAAACCAAAATAGAACTTTTTGGTAAAAACTCAACTCGTCGTGTTTGGAGGACAAAGAATGCTGAGTTGCATCCAAAGAACACCATACCTACTGTGAATCATGGGGGTGGAAACATCATGCTTTGGGGCTGTTTTTCTGCAAAGGGACCAGGACGACTGATCCGTGTAAAGGAAAGAATGGGGCCATGTATCGTGAGATTTTGAGTGAAAACCTCCTTCCATCAGCAAGGGCATTGAAGATGAAACGTGGCTGGGTCTTTCAGCATGACAATGATCCCAAACACACCGCCCGGGCAACGAAGGAGTGGCTTCGTAAGAAGCATTTCAAGGTCCTGGAGTGGCTAGCCAGTCTCCAGATCTCAACCCCATAGAAAATCTTTGGAGGGAGTTGATAGTCTGTGTTGCCCAGCGACAGCCCCAAAACATCACTGCTCTAGAGGAGATCTGCATGGAGGAATGGGCCAAAATACCAGCAACAGTGTGTGAAAACCTTGTGAAGACTTACAGAAAACGTTTGACCTGTGTCATTGCCAACAAAGGGTATATAACAAAGTATTGAGAAACTTTTGTTATTGACCAAATACTTATTTTCCACCATAATTTGCAAATAAATTCATAAAAAACCTACAATGTGATTTTCTGGAGAGAAAAAAATCTCATTTTGTCTGTCATAGTTGACGTGTACCTATGATGAAAATTACAGGCCTCTCTCATCTTTTTAAGTGGGAGAACATGCACAATTGGTGGCTGACTAAACTTTTTTTCCCCACTGTATGTATGTGTGTGTATATATATGTGTGTGTGTGTGTGTATGTATGTATGTGTATATATATATCTATACACACAAATATTCCAGCATCTCAACCGTCTCTTAAATTCAGAACTAACACAAACATTCAACCGTCTCTTACCTTCAGATCTAACACAGATATTCCACCGTCTCAACCGTCTCTTACCTTCAGATCTAACACAAACATTCAACCGTCTCAACTGTCTCTTACCTTCAGAACTAACACAAACATTCCACCGTCTCAACCGTCTCTTACCTTCAGATCTAACACAACCATTGATTCCAAATTGACCTGATTTGACTTTTAGTGAGCTGACCCTGATTTTTGAGCCCTGACCTCACCCTGCCCCCTGCTGTTTTGTCTCCTCTCCTGCAGGTCAGAATGAGACGCCGGTGTTCGCCCTGCCTCTCCTCCTCAGGGCTGACTCGTGGGCCGAGCCTCTTTTCCAGCATGCGTATGAGTGGCAGTTTGAGTGTATCTCAACAACCTGCCAGCACGCCACCAACACCAAGTAACTATCTCTGTTTTACACTATTTTAATGTATCTATCAGGGATATATCATAAAGGTCTATAAGTGGCAGGTTGAGTGTATCTCAACAACTTGTCAACAAGCCACCAAGTAAGAGCCACCTTTTAACTTTTAGGGTCAGGTTTCTGGACATAGATATATAACCTAGTCTTGGACTAAGAAGCACTTTCAATGGAGAATCTCCATCTCTCATGGAGAATCTTCATCTGTCTATCAGTGATTTAGTGATCAATATCATTATTAGTCGTTATCTTAGAAGATCTGTGTTTGACTGTTTCCAACGTTCTTTAGTTTTCATAAGAAGCCTCTGGTAGTCCTACTGCAATACTGTAGACCAGGGTTGCCCAACCCTGTTCCTGGAGAGCTACCCTCCTGTAGGTGTTCGCTCCAACCCTGTTCCTGGAGAGCTACCCTCCTGTAGGTGTTCGCTCCAACCCTGTTCCTGGAGAGCTACCCTCCTGTAGGTTTTAACTCCAACCCTGTTCCTGGAGAGCTACCCTCCTGTAGGTGTTCGCTCCAACCCTGTTCCTGGAGAGCTACCCTCCTGTAGGTTTTAACTCCAACCCTGTTCCTGGAGAGCTACCCTCCTGTAGGTGTTCGCTCCAACCCTGTTCCTGGAGAGCTACCCTCCTGTAGGTGTTCGCTCCAACCCTGTTCCTGGAGAGCTATCCTCCTGTAGGTTTTAACTCCAACCCTGTTCCTGGAGAGCTACCCTCCTGTAGGTGTTCACTCCAACCCTGTTCCTGGAGAGCTACCCTCCTGTAGGTTTTAACTCCAACCCTGTTCCTGGAGAGCTATCCTCCTGTAGGTTTTAACTCCAACCCTGTTCCTGGAGAGCTACCCTCCTGTAGGTTTTCGCTCCAACCCCAGATGTTACTAACCTGATTCATCTTATCAACCTGCTAATTATTAGAATCAGGTGTGCTAGATTAGGGTTGGAGTAAAAACCTACAGGACGGTAGCTCTCCAGGAACTGGGTTGGGCAGTCCTGCTGTATACTCTGTCATATTAACCTAATGGTCAATACTGTAGACTAGGTCATATTAACCTAATGGTCAATACTGTAGACTAGGTCATATTAACCTAATGGTCAATACTGTAGACTAGGTCATATTAACCTAATGGTCAATACTGTAGACTAGGTCATATTAACCTAATGGTCAATACTGTAGACTAGGTCATATTAACCTAATGGTCAATACTGTAGACTAGGTCATATTAACCTAATGGTCAATACTGTAGACTAGGTCATATTAACCTAATGGTCAATCAGGTGAGAGAGCAGGTTTATAAGCATCTTGTCCTCTCTCGCTCTCTCTACCTTCAGTAGACCTGGCTTGTAACAGCATCCGACATATCCTGAGGCACAACGTGCTGCTGGGATAGGCATGGGAATGAGAGAAAAGAGAGGGAATAAGAGAAAAGAGAGGGAATGAGAGAAAAAGGGAGAGAAGGAAAGAGAAGTGAAATTAATATATCAATGTGGTGATTGTTCTGTACTACTGGAGGAGTGCCCAGTCTTGTGCCCAGAGGAAGAGGAAAGAATAGGAAAATGAGTCATGAATGAAAACAAACGTTTACTCACCTAATTCCTTCCTCCTAGTTTCGTGATTGGTCGTATTATGGCTCTTTGAGAAACTTGGCCCGGTATAAGTTTACCAGTATAGACAGTGAAGCAGGTATTGGGCAACATTTTAGCAGTGCAAAGAGCAAAAAATACTGTGAACCTATTGTTCTAATTATGAATCTTCAAGGAACTTGGCCCAGTAGCTACAATACAGACGGTGAAAAGGGTAACGATTAGTCTGTTGAAACCTCCATCCGCTACTTACTGGGGCGGCAGATAGCCTAGCGGTTAAGAGCGTTGGGCCAGTAACTGAAAGTTTGCTGGTTCGAATCCCTGAGCCGACTAAGTTAAAAAAATCTGTCTGTGCCCTTGAGCAAGACACTTAATCCTAATTGCGCCTGTAAGTTGTTCTGGATAAGAGCGTCTACTAAATGACTAAAATGTAAATGTACTCATTTCATTCTTCCTGTAGTTTTCGGTTGGTTTCTTTTGAAGAACTTGGCTAAGTACATGCGCTCCAGCAGGTGTATCTCACTGGTCATCCCCAAAGCCAACACCTCCTTTAGCCGCCATTCCTTCCAGTTCTCTGCTGCCAATGACTGGAACGAACTGCAAAAATCTCTGAAGCTGGAGACCCTTATCTCCCTCACTAACTTTAAGCATCAGTTGTCAGAGCAGCTTACCGATCACTGCACCTGTACACAGCCCATCTGAAATTAGCCCACCCAACTACCTCATCCCCATATTGTTATTTATTTTGCTCATTTGCACCCCAGTATCTCTATTTGCACATCATCTTCTGCACGTCTATCACTCCAGTGTCAATACTAAATGGTAATTATTTTGCACTATGGCCTATTTATTGCCCTACCTCCATAACTTACTACATTTGCACACACTGTATCTATATATTTTTTCTGTTGTATTTTTGACTTTATGTTTTGTTTTACCCCATATGTAACTCTGTTGTTGTTTTTATCGCACTGCTTTGCTTTATCTTGGCCAGGTCGCAGTTGTAAATGAGAACTTGTTCTCAACTGGCTTACCTGGTTAAAATAAGGTTAAATAAAAATAAAAAAAAGCAGATATTATTTGTTGAAACCTCCATCCCCTATATTCCTGTGTGAATTGAAATTGAATCGGTCTAGATAGCTTCTAATAATAATTTAAGTGAGATGAAAACTACTAACAAAAAGACTCATTCCCATACCGGGAGTCGAACCCGGGCCGCCTGGGTGAAAACCAGGAATCCTAACCGCTAGACCATATGGGAAGCTGTGTCTTTCTGTGTTTAACTAGGCATTTGAATGGCAACAACAACGAGGTAATGTTGACACAAAGGGAGGACATTTCAGATAATAATTTGCATAAAACAAATAAAGGGAAAAACTGACTGACTCAACTGGACTAAAGGGTGTATGCGTGTGTGTGTGTGTCTTTATTTACAATGAAATGTTTTTTTCTTTCAGATGTAAGAAGACCCTCACCACTTTCACCAAGGTGGTTTCAGATTGGCACCCTCTCAACGCGGCCCACCAATCACGTTGCAGCAAGTGTAATAAGAGGAAGCAGACCAGGATGTTGGTGCTGGAGAGGTGAGGGTGCGACCTCTAACCTTTCATACTTGAGTTGGATCTCAACTAGGGTTGTGGTCAGTTCTGTTTTTTAATTCAGGAAGTGAATGAAATTGGAATTCTATTCATGAATTGAGAAGTCCTCATAGAAAACAATGGGAAACTTCCAATTCAGTTCCTGGAGAGCTACCATCCTGTAGGTCTTCGCTCCAACCCTAATCTAGCACACTTGGTGCTAATAATTAGCTGGTTGATAAGGTGAATCATGTTAGTTACAACTGGGGTTGGAGCGAAAACCTACAGGACGGTAGCTCTCCATGAACAGGGTTGGAGAGCCCTGTTGTAGACAATTGAGATGGAGCCATGTAGTTGATATTGTAGACTATTGAGATGGAGCCAATACAACAATTTCAAAGAGTTTACTGAGTTTTACAGTTCATATAAGGAAATCAGTCAATTGAAATAAATTAATTAGGCCCCCCACCTCAGACGATCCCGCAGGTGAAGAAGCCGGATGTGTAGGTCCTGGGCTGGTTTGTTTACACGTGGTCTGCGTTTGTGAGGCCGGTTGGACATACTGCCAAATTCTCTAAAACGACATTGGAGGCAGCTTATGGTAGAGAAGTGAACATTAAATTCTCTGGCAACAGCTCAGTTGGACATTCCTGCAGTCAGCATGCCAATTGCACGCTCCCTCAACTTGAGACATCTGTGGCATTGTGTTGTATGACAAAACTGGACATTTTAAAGTGGCCTTTTATTGTCCCCAGCACAAGGTGCATCTGTGTAATGATCATGCTGTTTAATCCGCTTCTTTGATATGCCACACCTGGCAGGTGGATGGATTATATTGGCAAAGGAGAAATGCTCACTAACAAGGATGTAAACAGATTTGTGCACAACATTTGAGAGAAATAAGATTTTTGTGCGTATGGATTTTTTTGGGGATTTTTTCAGCTCATGAAACATGGGACCAACACTTTACATGTTAAGTTTTATTTTTGTTCAGTGTAGTTGATATTGTAGACTATTGAGATGGAGCCATGTAGTTGATACTGTAGACTATTGAGATGGAGCCAAGTAGTTGATATTGTAGACTATTGAGATGGAGCCAAGTAGTTGATATTGTAGACTATTGAGATGGAGCCAAGTAGTTGATATTGTAGACTATTGAGATGGAGCCAAGTAGTTGATATTGTAGACTATTGAGATGGAGCCAAGTAGTTGATATTGTAGACTATTGAGATGGAGCCAAGTAGTTGTTATAGATGGCTTGCAGTTGACGTATGATGCCTCCTGACGGCGATGTTGGAAGACCCCCGCAGTAATTCTTTCCGACAACAGCAGCTGAGTTGCTACCACAAAGAGCATGAAAACAGTGTCTGAAACTGTTTGATTCATCACCACAGTCATTTTCTGTGCAGTATTTGGCTGCTCTGACAAGGCAGGAAAGACAACGGGGATGAAAAAAAATGTTTACGGATTCCCCACAATCATGAAACACCATTGGTGACACCAAGGAGATAAGACTCAAGAACTGTCAGAAAAGCGAAGAAACCTGTTTGCCCGTCAAGACCTGAACCCAGACAGCTGTTAGTACAGGGTCTGCTACAATCATTTAATCACTGGTAAGTCAAGTCTGATCGATCTTGACTTTAGTTTAGCTGTTATGCTAATCAGGTGTTAACAACAACACTAAGTTAGCCAAAATTAGCTAGCTCGATAGCTTGAAGTCTAGCTATTAGCATGTGTCGCGTGAGTTTCACGTTTTAGGGAAGCAATTTTTTCACCCTAAAAATGCACCTTTATAACAAAGGATTGCATGCATCTATCATCACATTTGCAGACTAATGTAAGCATACTATTCCTAATGTGATGAGTAGATTGGATAGTCATAATTTAGGCTGTTAATGAGCGTGTAGTGGTATACCCCTATAGGCTATTAATGAGCGTGTAGTGGTATAGGCCTATAGGCTATTAATGAGCGTGTAGTGGTATACCCCTATAGGCTATTAATGAGCGTGTAGTGGTATGGTATAGGCCTATAGGCTATTAATGAGCGTGTAGTGGTATAGGCCTATAGGCTTTAATGAGCGTGTAGTGGTATAGGGCCTATAGGCTGTTCATGAGCGTGTAGTGGTATAGGCCTATAGGCTATTAATGAGCGTGTAGTGGTATAGGCCTATAGGCTATTAATGAGCGTGTAGTGGTATACCCCTATAGGCTATTAATGAGCGTGTAGTGGTATAGGCCTATAGGCTATTAATGAGCGTGTAGTGGTATAGGCCTATAGGCTATTAATGAGCGTGTAGTGGTATACCCCTATAGGCTATTAATGAGCGTGTAGTGGTATACCCCTATAGGCTATTAATGAGCGTGTAGTGGTATAGGCCTATAGGCTATTAATGAGCGTGTAGTGGTATACCCCTATAGGCTATTAATGAGCGTGTAGTGGTATAGGCCTATAGGCTATTAATGAGCGTGTAGTGGTATAGCCCTATAGGCTATTAATGAGCGTGTAGTGGTATAGGCCTATAGGCTATTTTAGAGATGTTTCTTTCCTTTGCAAGGGGAAAATGTGGCCTTTGACAAACATTTCATAGATTTCTACTACACTTTATATGACTGGAGACATTAGCAGAATCTTTTTTTAATATGATCCAAGTGCCACTCAGACCATCTGGGAGAAAAGGATCTGACATTGAACTTGGTGGTAGTAGCTGTGTGTATGTTTTAAGCTAAGGATCCCATAATCTCCTTCTAACAGACATTTCAGGGTTGGATTTGCACTACACTATTTAATGTCAGCACAAGCCATGTACAACATCTGGTATAATATTAGCCTCATATACAGTGCATTTGGAAAACATATTCAAACCCCTTGACTTTTTCCACATTTTGTTACTTTAGAGCCTTGTTCTAAAATTGATTAAATTAAATGTTTTCCTCATCAATCTACACCAAAAAAACCCGTAATGACAAAGCGAAACCAGGTTTTTAGAAATGTTTTCAAAGTATTAACATAAGTAATCAGACCCTTTGCTATGAGACTACAAATTGAGCTCCGGTGCATCCTGTTTCCATTGATCATCCTTGAGATGTCTCTACAACTTGATAGGAGTCCACCTGTGGTAAATTCAATTGATTGGACATGATTTGGAAAGGCACACACCTGTCTATATAATAGTTGACAGTGCATTTCAGAGAAAAAACCAAGGCATGAGGTTGAAGGAATTTTCCGTAGGGCTCCGAGACTGGTTTGGAACCACCAAGACTCTTCCTAGAGTTGGCCGCCCGGCCAAATTGAGCAATCGGGGGAGAAGGGCCTTGGTCAGGGAGGTGACCAAGAGCCCGATGGTCACTCTGACAGAGTTTTTCTGTGGAGATGGGAGAACGTTCCAGAAGGACAACTGTCTCTGCAGCACTCCACCAATCAGGCCCTTTTATGGTAGAGTGGCCAGGCGGAAGCCACTCCTCAGTAAAAGGCACATGACAGCCCGCTTGGAGTTTGCCAAATGGCACCTATAGGATTCAGACCATGAGAAACAAGATTTTCTGGTCTGATGAAACCAAGATTGAACTCATTGGTCTGAATGCCAAGCGTCAAGTCTGGAGGAAACCTGGCACCATCCCTACGGTGAAGCATGGTGGTGGCAGCATCATGCTGTGGGGGTGTTTTTCAGCGGCAGGGACTGGGAGACTAGTCAGGATCGAGGGGAAAGATGAACGGAGCAAAGTACAGAGAGATCCTTGATGAAAACCTTCTCCAGAGCGCTCAGGACCTCAGACTGGGGCAAAGGTTCACCTTCCAACAGGACAACGACCCTAAGCACACAGCCAAGACAACACAGGAATGGCTTCGGGACAAGTCTCTGAATGTCCTTGTGTGGCCCAGCCAGAGCCCGTACTTGAACATGATCGAACATCTCTGGAGAGACCTGAAAATAGCTGTGCAGAGAAGCTCCCCAACCAACCTGACAGAACTTGAGAGGATCTCCAGAGAAGAATGGGAGAAACTCCTCATACAGGTGTGCCAAGATTGTAGCGGGTGGTCCTCTGTAGCTCAGCTGGTAGAGCACGGCGCTTGTAACGCCAGGGTAGTGGGTTCGATCCCCGGGACCACCCATACACAAAAATGTATGCACGCATGACTGTAAGTCGCTTTGGATAAAAGCGTCTGCTAAATGGCTTATTATTATTATTATTATTATTATACCCAAGAAGACTCGAGGCTGTAATCGCTGCCAAAGGTGCTTCAACAAAGTACTGAGTAAAGGGTCTGAATACTTGTATTTACCTGTTTTTGCTTCGTCATTATGTGGTATTGTGTGTAGATTGATGAGGGGAAAAAACAATTTCAATCAATTTTAGAGTAACGCTTTAATGTAACAAAATGTGGAAAAGGTCAAGGGGTCTGAATACTTTCCGAATGCACTGTACATTGTCTACTGCTATAGTTTTTTTTAAATTGAGAACATATAGCTCAAGAATATGTAAATAATATGTGAGTTAAGCTATTCTCTGCTTCAGATGCACAATGTCAAGGGGTGCATTGCAAATGCCCACAAGGCAGCGTTTCCCAAACTCAGTCCTTGGGACCCCAAGGGGTGCACGTTTTGGTTTTTGCCCTAACACTACACAGCTGATTCAAATTATCAAAGCTTGATGATTAGTTGATTATTTGAATCAGCTGTGTAGTGCTAGGGCAAAAAAACTAAACGTGCACCCCTTGGCGGACCGAGTTTGGGAAACCCTGCCATAAGGCTGACGCCATCATACTGTAGGCCAGTGGTTCCCAACTCCGGTCCTCCAGTACGCCCCAACAGTACACTGTTTTATCGTAGCCCCGGACAAGCACACCTGATTCAACTCGTCAACTAATCATCAGGCCCTCAATGAATTGAATCAGGTGTGTTTGTCCAGGGCTCCGTGTGTGTTGTTGGGGGGTACTGGAGGACTGGCGTTGGGAACCGCTGCTGGAGGTCTGTGGCTGCATTGGCGTTGCATGTCATTATCAGCTGCAAAATGGGTTCACATGGCTGACATCCTGAAAAAAAAGTGACAATAAAATAATACTAATTGTAGAGCTTACAACTGAACAAAACGTTTATTTGAGAATATAACAGACATATTAGACAGATTGCCTTTATTGCAGGATTGTGAGCTGTGATTTAATCAACATTGACGCTAGTTCATCTTGAATAAAAAGTTTTAAGGTGACAACTAAAACAAGTTTAAACACTTCACTTCAAAGAATCAACAGTATTTCATATAATTTGCACACGTAAACTAACTCGTATGTAAAGGTTAGGCATCTTAGTAACAAGTAGGCTATTAATTACCAAAGCGTCATTTTCAGTTGAACAAAAAAACAAAAGTAAATACCAGAGGTGTGTCCAACCTCGCTCCACTGATCCCTGATCTACTGGGTGAGCAGACTTCTGTTCCAGTCCAGCAATAGCACACTTGATTATCAACCAAATTAGGGTTTGATACATTGAATCATGTATGTTGGTGCTGGGCTGGAATAGACGCCTGCACACCCAGCAGGGTTGGCCTGCTCCAGTTGTAATAGGTTTCTACATTGTGTGTGACTTTTTTTTTTTAATGTATTGTTCTTCACAAAATTTGCCAACATAGGTACACATATAATCCATGGCATACAACGATGTACCCTTTTGTCCCAAGATAATTTCATTGGTACCTCTTCAACTGCATACAGGGTTTCACAGCTCTCTGGATCTCTTGACAGAAACACATCACAAAGAAACGGGCTGCGTTATACTCAAATTAGACGGCACTAAATATGATGTTGCTTTATCTCTCTCTTCTCATAGTGTTTCTTGCCAGGGACTTGAACTGGAGAGTCTTTTCATAATGTCCTCTCACAAAGGACCAGTAGCTGCCCTATCCAAAGGAGCCTACTGTCCCTTCTCTGACAGATGGAACTGCTAGCTAACGTTTTCACCCTCTTCCATGGCTGTTAGCTAGCTAGCTACATAGCTACAATTGCGTTTTGAGTTACAAAAATAAATACATCAAAGATAGGTAGCTAACTAGCTAATATGAAGTTAGCTTGCTGGTGATTTTTTAATTCACTTGGTTAGCTACACGGTATGTAAAATCAGCTAGCGAACATTACATTAGCAGCTAATTTGAGTTAGCCTGCACTCAAAGTTCCTGTAGCTATCATTTTTCAAAATATATTTACTTACTTGAATAGGTTCTCCCACTGCCTCCGTTTTCTGGGTTCTTCCTGACGTTTACGGTGATGGCAAAACGCAGCCAGCCATGTGGATGATTGGAGGACTTCTACCAGACATGGCGCCTGGTGCGGTTGCTAGGTGATTTGTGAAGCAACTGCAAGCACTCTATTGTCTTGGTTTTTCTCTTTCATGTTGTCTGTTGCTGATTTGTTGTTCTGTTACCAGTCAGTGCAGATGGAGGACAGGAGATGAGTTCTCTTCAAACGATCGAGGTGCCATGTTGTAGACATTGTCTTGCTTTTCTCTAACTCTGTTTCCTGAGGCTGATATCTATTCTGTCTCTTCTTCCAGGCTGTCTCCTGTGTTTGTGCTGCACTTTGTAGAAGGTCTCCCTGACAACGACCTCAGTGTGTACTCCTTCACCTTCCAGCAGCAGAAATACTCCGTCACCACCGTCATACAGTATGACCAGCAACTCAAGCACTTTGTCACCTGGATACGCAGACCAGACGGTCAGTGTGGCTTTCTCATTTAGTTCAGTATAAATTTATTTATCCCTTCAGGGGCAGTTAAGACTGTCATTTCATTCATGTAGTTTGTTGTTTTTTACTGGTCAACAAGTTAATTTGTGTTATTTTTAAAAGGTATACTTCAGGATCTTGGCAACTTCCCCAGAGTCAGATGAACTCATGGATACCATGTTTATGTCTCTGCGTGCAGTTTGAAGGAAATTGCTAACTAGTGTTAGCGCAATGACTGGAAGTCTATGGTAACTACTAGCATGCTAGTAGATTGCTAGTTAGCATTGGCTCGCGAAACTACCTCAGACTTCCTTCATACTGGATGCAGAGACCCAAAAATGGTATCCATGAGTTCATCTGACTCAGGAAGTAGATAAAGGGCTTGATTGCCAAAATCTCAAAGTATCACTTTAAGAATGCCATATATAGCTTATTCATACCTCCATTATCAACAGATAGAAACAAATATATTTCATAACTGAAAGGTCATGTCAGTGTGTCTAATCATGTGTAGCATTTATAAAATGCCAATCAGTAGGTCTCTTTACGTTGTGTTGGGGTAACTCTATAAAAGAGATGGACAGCACACCAAAAATACCTTCAATAATCAATTTAGCACCTTCCTACTATTGAGGAATGATCTGAGAGTGAGCATGTTATCTATTCGTCTGTGACTGTAATAACTCTCCCCATCCACCACCAGTGTATACCACCCATTCCTCTGTGACTGTAGTAACTCTCCCCATCCACCACCATTGTATAACACCCATTCCTCACTTTCTTCACTCTTCCTCTTACTGTCTCTCCCCACAGGATCATGGCTGGAGTTCGACGATCTGAAGCACCCTAACTGTGTCTCCCACACCCAGCTGGTGGTCCCTCCTAGAGAAATCCATGTTGTCTTCTGGGAGTTGAAGACCAACAGACCGGACAACCCACAGACACCCTGCTCTCCCCCTGTATCCCTGACAAGCACTTTCCTGATACAGAAAGAACTGAAGCAACCTCCCTTAGCCAAACTCTTTGTCAACAATGAATCTCAAGACATCTCTCAGACGGTCTCTGACGATGCGGACACTGACATGGACACCACCATAACTGCTGGCTATATTGATAACGTTATGGACACAACGTTAACGAATAACGTTGACTCTCCCGTCTCCATCGGTTCCACCACCGTGCTTCCTGGCGTACCGGTTCAGTCCTGTGACCACAACCTTTCTCTCCCCCTCCTTCACAACGACACGGCCATTGTCGAGGCATTGACGGTGTCTGATGATACCGACAACGACATCATGGACACCACGGTAACCATTGGTAACTCATCCATCAGTAGCACCACACTGCTCGACACCTTCGAGGGCCTCTCCCACGATGACATCGTCACCCTGACGCTCGTAGAGGTCCAAGTTGACTCTGATGGGAGGCCGTTGGACGACAACGTCTCCCTAGCTCCCAGGCAAACTGGAGACCTCACTTCTCCTCGACCTGCTCCTACACCTGAGGCTGAGAACCCCGCACCTGCCCGTGAAATGCCCCCTGAAACAGATGATGACATTGTCATCAAAAGGCCAACGTCCCCCGACACTGCCAGTGAGTTTCTCCTTGACAACAGTGACGGTCATTCTGAGCCCGACTCTGAAGAGCCCACTCCTCCTAGTCCTCCCAAGCTCAGAAGGGGCAGAAGCACCCGCAGTAAACCCAAAATGGTAGCATCCAACACTCCAGTTGCACCAGCAGCTAAGGTGGTCACATCAACAACACCACCAAGAACAGCTACACCAATGGCACTTACTGGAAACTGTGGCGGAATAATCCTGCCCTCAGTTGTATCTATGATGTCACCATCATATGTGGAACCCAGCACCCCAGCACCAGAGTCCCCTACTCGTTGCTCTCCCCCGCCCCACTCCAAACCCGCTAATACCTCCACGTCTCTGCAGAGCAAACCCGGCCTTCCTCCGCCCCTGGACCCCAACTCTCGCTGGTCCTACCTGCTTAGCCGCCACCCCACCTCCACCCCAACTCCCCCCAGAACCCAGAGACCACCCAGCCACTTCAACCACTCAACACCCAACCAGTTCCAGCAGCTTTCACAGAGCAGGCAGACCCCAAAGGTGTCTCCCCCCAACCCAGACGCCAGGCTGAAGAAGCCTCCGCCTCTACCCAAACCCAAACTGAGTAAGGTGGACAACGAGACCCTGCCGGTGAAGGCTGCCGAGATGTACGGAAGGTTCCAGGCCAGGAGCAGGAACGTCAATACAAACATAAACGATGTCCCCTCCAAGACTTCACCTCCCACCCAGCTCCTCTCTCAAAGAACTGACCCTCAAAATGGCGTCTGGAAGACACCAAGTCAACCTGCCGCCCTTGTCTCGCGAAAACCCCCTATCAACCACACCACTTCAGCAGTGCCTATTATGACCTCACTTCCCCCCTCTCCAGGAGTCACTGAGCTCCCTAGAATCTCTTCCTCCAGGAAACACAGCCCCGGAGGCCAGGTCTCGAAAGTTCCGGCTGGCCTCAGTGAGACGGAGGCCCTCAGGTACAAGCTGCTGAAGAAGCTGAAAGCCAAGAAGAAGAAACTGGAGAAGCTGAATCAGATGTTGGGGTACCCCGGGGGGGGAGTGACCTGCAGACCAGACATGGCTGATCGGAATCCCTCCTACACCGTGAGCTCTAGTACCTCTGTCTACGACAGCCCCGCATACGACGAGTTCTTCGCCGACCTTCTGTCGCCCGCGACGACCGCAAGCAACCTATCACCGGACAGCACAGGCTTCCTGGAGATGCTGACCACCAATGGTCAAGAAGGGGGCGGGGACTTGGCATGTGGGGGGAATGGTGTTGTTGGAGCCTCACAGGTGGTGACACCTGTGACCTTGCAACCGGCCAGTCACTATGTAGTAGTGCCACAGCCTGATCTAGCCGGGCCAATCACAACCTCTGGTGAGAACTTCCTGGAAGAGTTCATATCAGGTTCGGCCAATCAGCAGACGGTGGAGATGGAGACTGAAACCCTCAGTGCTCTCGACATGTTCTTTTAGGCTCGTTAACCACAGGTCTAGGATCTGCTAACAACTCTTACCTAACCCCTAAGCTTAAACATTAGGGGGAAATACAAAGCTTACCTCAGATCAGTGGCTAAGGTTACGTCTGAAATGGCACCCTAATCCCTATATAGTGCACTATTTTTGACCAGAGCCCCTGGTTAAAAGTAGCACCATAGAGATCCTATTAAATTAAAGTATTCTAATTATATGAGTAGTGTACTATATATAGGGAGTTAGGGTGCCGTTTCGGATGCAGACAGATCCTAGTACAAACTACATGCTACTATTCCTTTGTCTGGAGAGAGTGAGTGTGTGTGTGTGTGTGTGTGTGTGTGTGTGTGTGTGCACGTGCACGTGCTTGGCATCAATGGGTTGTTCTGTTCTGGGTAGCATGTGTTACACAGAGCGGAATCAAATAAAATGACATTGGTTGTCTTACCCTGTAAACAATCTATGGACAAGGTATGACAGCAATCCATGCTTTGGTTGTTTCCACGCTCTTAACGTTTTAGCATTTGTGGCACAAATCCCATCCAAGTCATGGGACTTGAATTTGGGAGAACTATCCCTTTAACTCGGATATCGCTCATGTATTTTTTTAGTTTAGCAAGAATGTTGAAGCTGAAATGGAGTAATGTTAATACTCGCTGAGGCTTCGTCCCAAATGACACCCTATTCCCTATATAGTGCACTACTTTAGACCAGGGCCTGTAGGGGATAGGGTATAATTTGGGACGAACCATTATACTTACAGGTTCTGAGGCTTTAAGGGAGATAAAATATGGAGGTTGTTTCAGAGTATTCTGGAAAGTTAATAGACCAATTATTTGATCCTGCTTTTGTGGAGGGAAAATAAAACCTCCAGAAGACATCATATGTACTGTTGTTGTTTTGGTTTGCTTTTTTTATATTTGTTTGTCTGAATTACTTTAACCTGAGCTAGGATAAAAGCCTGACAGGTAGGATAAAAATGGGTTTGTGTTTTAGGGGTGGTTCGAACTCTTATTTTATCCAAGGTTTGAATATATTTTTGTAATACAAAGTGTGACAGAGTTGTACAATGTTGTACTGAATCAGATACTGTATGTAATTCTAATAAAATAAAATCTTCTTGACATGATACACATGTTTTTGAGGTATACGTAAATAAGCCTTGTCTGAGCCAGAACCTAATTTTTTTGTACTTACGTGAGTCAGCGTGATGCACCTGTAACTCCTGGACAGAACGCTTATCGGTCTTATCCCCAAACCATCTCCTTATTTATTTGTGTATGATAGGTAGTGGAAAATATATACTGTGACTCCTAGTAGCAAATCAATCAGGAGGCAAAATTATCCATATTGTCAATTTCTAGAATCTAGAGGAAATAGTTTTTGGGGAGAGTTGTGAGAATCAATTAGCCTGGTCCCAGATATGTACAGTGTATTGGGAAAGTATTCAGACCCCTTGACTTTTTCCACATTTTGTTACGTTACAGCCTTATTCTAAAAAATGAGAGACTTGTCCGAAAGCCACTCCTGCATCGTCTTGGCTGTTTGCTTATGTTCGTTGTCCTGTTGGAAGGTGAACCTTTGCCCCCAGTCTGAGATCCTGAGCGTTTTGGAGCAGGTTTTCATCAAGGCTCTCTGTACTTTGCTCAGTTCATCTTTCCCTCGATCCTGACTAGTCTCCCAGTCCCTGCCGCTGAAAAACATCCCCACAGCATGATGCTGCCACCACCATGCTTCACCGTAGGGATGGTGCCAGGTTTCCTCCAGACGTGACGCTTGGCATTCAGGCCAAAGAGTTCAATCTTGGTTTCATCAGACCAGAGAATCTTGTTTCTCATGGTCTTAGTCCTTTAGGTGCCTTTTGGCAAACTCCAAGCGGGCTGTCATGTGCCTTTTGCTGAGGAGTGGCTTCCCTCTGGCCAATCTACCGTAAAGGCCTGATTGGTGGAGTGCTGCAGAGATGGTTGTCCTTCTGGAAGGTTCTCCCATCTCCACAGAGGAACTCTGGAGCTCTGTCAGAGTGACAATCGGGTTCTTGGTGACCTCCCTGACCAAGGCCCTTCTCCCCCAATTGCTCAGTTTGGCCGGGTGGCCAGATCTAGGAAGAGTCTTGGTGGTTCCAAACTTTTTCTATTTTTGAATGGAGGCCACTGTGTTCTTGGGGACCTTCAATGCTGCAGACATTTTTTGTTTCCATTCCCCAGATCTGTGCCTCGACACAATCCTGTCTCGGAGCTCTACGGACAATTCCTTTCTACCTCATGGCTTGGTTTTTGCTCTGACATGCACTGTCGACTGTGGGACCTTATATAGACAGGTGTGTGCCTTTCCAAATCATGTCCAATCAATTGTATTTACCACTGGTGGACTCCAACCAAGTTGTAGAAACATGTCAAGGATGATCAATGGAAACAGGATGCACCTGAGCTCAATTTAGAGTCTCATAGCAAAGGGTCTGAATACTTATGTAAATAAGGTATATCGAATGAATGACATTTTATTTTCGTGTCAAATCGCCAATTGGCAACCCACCCTTTTATGGGATTAATTGACGCATAAACAAACATTACAATAATTCACTGTGGTAATTAAATGATGATTGTTCTTCTTCCGGTGTTCTCTGCATTGCATAAATAGTGAAAAAATTGTAAAAATCAATATATAATAGTAAATAAGGTTCTCCAAACAATCTCCCTAGTGCAGTAAAATAATATACAGACATACATGGATACCATATGTGAATTGATTGCCCCCCATTTATCCTCAGAGTTCGTACTGCTTGGTGACCTAAATTGGGATATGCTTAACACCCCGGCCATCCTACAATCCAAACTAGATGCCCTCAATCTCACACAAATTATCAACGAACCTACCAGGTACAACCCTAAATCCGTAAACATGGGTACCCTCATAGATATCATCCTGACTAACTTACCCTCTAAATACACCTCCGCTGTCTTCAACCAGGATCTCAGCGATCACTGCCTTATTGCCTGCGTCCGTAACGGGTCCGCGGTCAAACGACCACCCCTCATCACTGTCAAACGCTCCCTAAAACACTTTAGCGAGCAGGCCTTCCTAATTGACCTGGCCCAGGTATCCTGGATGGATATAGATCTCATTCCGTCAGTAGAGGATGCCTGGTTGTTCTTTAAAAGTAATTTCCTCTCAATCTTAAATAAACATGCCCCATTCAAAAAATACAGAACTAAGAACAGATATAGCCCCTGGTTCTCCTCAGACTTGACTGCCCTTGACCAGCACAAAAACATCGTGGCGTACTGCATTAGCATCAAATAGCCCCCGCGATATGCAACTTTTCAGGGAAGTTAGGAACCAATATACACAAGCAGTCAGGAAAGCAAAGGCTAACTTTTTCAAACAGAAATTTGCATCCTGTAGCACTAACTCCAAAAAGTTTTGGGACACTGTAAAGTCCATGGAGAATAAGAGCACTTCCTCCCAGCTGCCCACTGCACTGAGGCTAGGTAACACTATCACCACCGATAAATCTACAATAATCGAGAATTTCAACAAGCATTTTGCTACGGCTGGCCATGCTTTCCACCTGGCTACCACTACCCCCGGCCACCAGCTCTGCACCCTCCGCTGCAACTTGCCCATGCCCCCCCCCCCCCCCCCCCCCCCCCCGCTTCTCCTTCACACAAATTCAGACAGCTGATGTTCTGAAAGAGCTGCAAAATCTGGACCCCTACAAATCAGCTGGGCTAGACAATCTGGACCCTTTCTTTCTAAAACTAGCCGCCGAAATTGTCGCAACCCCTATTACTAGCCTGTTCAACCTCTCTTTCGTAACGTCTGAGATCCCCAGAGATTGGAAAGCTGCCACGGTCATCCCCCTCTTCAAAGGGGGTGACACTCTAGATCCAAACTGTTACAGACCTATATCCATCCTGCCCTGCCTTTCGAAAGTATTTGAAAGCCAAGTTAACAAACAGATCACCAACCATTTCGAATCCCACCGTACCTTCTCCGCTATGCAATCCGGTTTCCGAGCTGGTCATGGGTGCACTTCAGCCACGCTCAAGGTCCTAAACGATATTATAACCGCGATCGATAATAGACGGTACTGTGCAGCCGTCTTCATCGACCTGGCCAAGGCTTTCGACTCTGTCAACCACCGCATTCTTATTGGCAGACTAAATAGCCTTGGTTTCTCAAATGACTGCCTCGCCTGGTTCACCAACTACTTCTCAGATAGAGTTCAATGTGTGAAATCGGAGGGCCTGTTGTCTGGACCTATGGCAGTCTCTATTGGGGTGCCACAGGGTTCAATTCTTGGGCCGACTCTTTTCTCTGTGTATATCAATGATGTCGCTCTTGCTCGACGGGTCTGACCTAGAGTATGTGGACAACTACAAATACCTAGGTGTCTGGTTAGACTGTAAACTCTCCTTCCAGACTCACATTAAGAACCTCCAATCCAAAGTTAAATCTAGAATCGGCTTCCTATTTCGCAACAAAGCCTCCTTCACTCATGCTGCCAAACATGCCCTCGTAAAACTGACTATCCTACCGATCCTTGACTTCGGCGATGTCATTTACAAAATAGCCTCCAACACTCTACTCAGCAAATTGAATGTAGTCTATCACAGTGCCATCCGTTTTGTCTCCAAAGCCCCATACACTACCCACCACTGTGACCTGTACGCTCTTGTTGGCTGGTCCTCACTACATGTTCGTCGTCAAACCCACTGGCTCCAGGCCATCTATAAATCACTCCTAGGCAAATCCCCGCCTTATCTTAGCTCATTGGTCACCACAGCAGCACCCACCCGTAGTCTGCGCTCCAGCAGGTATATCTCACTGGTCATTCCCAAAGCCAACACCTCCTTTGGCCGCCATTCCTTCCAGTTCTCTGCTGCCAATGACTGGAACGAATTGCAAAAATCTCTGAAGCTGGAGACTCTTATCTCCCTCACTAACTTTAAGCATCAGTTGTCAGAGCACCTTACTGATCACTGCACCTGTACACAGCCCATCTGAAATTAGCCCACCCAACTACCTCATCCCTATATTGTTATTTATTTTGCTCTTTTGCACCCCAGTATCTCTATTTGCACATAATCTCTTGCACATCTAGCATTCCAGTGTTAATACTAATTGTAATTATTTTGCACTATAGCCTATTTATTGCCTTACCTCCATAACTTGCTACATTTGCACACACTGTATAAATATTTTCTGTTGTATTTTATGACCTTATGTTTTTTTTACCCCATATGTAACTCTGTGTTGTTGTTTTTATCGCACTGCTTTGCTTTATCTTGGCCAGGTCGCAGTTGTAAATGAGAACTTGTTCTCAACTGGCTTACCTGGTTAAATAAAGGTGAAATAAAAAATAAAACATAACATATACAGATAAAAAAGAAACGGAAGGCATTTGAACCTAGTCTGGCACAAAGAGAGCTATATATATGTATGTATGTATATATATATATATATATATATATATATATATATATATATATATTTTTTTTTTTTAATAAATTAGCAAAAATTTCAAAAAAACGGTTTTTGCTTTGTCGTTATTGGGTATTGTATGTAGATTGAGAAATTGTCTTTATTTAATCAATTTTAGAAATGAAGGCTGTAACGTAACAAAATGTGGAAAAAGTCAAGGAGTCTGAATACTTTCCGAATGCACTGTATGTGCTATCACGACAACTCCTGTGTCATGATGGCACAACAGACTGGTAGTGGCACCCAGGCTAAGAATCAGGAGTAACCTGCAGGAAAGTATACGGAGTTCACTCCACTAAAATGAATGGAAGGATATGAAAATGTGGTGATGTAGCTTTGTAGTTGTGGTCTCACTACAGGGTGATAAAATGTGTTAACTACTGAATATACATAGATTGGTAAGTAGTTCCACAACCACATATTTACTGGTAATGCAATTTAACTAGTATTCTTTCCTTCGCCATGTCAGGCTCTTCGATAGTGCTAATCCGCCACCTAGTGGAAATATTTGAAAGAGCATGTCCATTTACCCAACCTCGGTCTTTCAATATTCTACCAAAGATAAATAAGATAGTTTACCATTATTTATTTTTTTGTCAAGGTTCCTGTCTGTGTAATTGGGCGTTTCCTCTTTCGCGTGAGTATGCTTTTCCCGCGTGAGCTCACGGTTCCTCCAGAATATCTGGCATACTCACGCGAGAGCTCGCTCGCTGGTCTACTTATTGTCCCCAACCGCTCGCCCCATCCGCCCCGACCAGAATTTTTTTTGCCTGTGAGATATCTCGTTCTGGGGCACCCCCTCCTCGGGGCGGGGGAAATAAGTAGACCAGAGTGGGGTGTCTCGCGTTCTCTAACTTCTCTGGTTCCACTAGCTACAGTATGTACATTATTTTAAAACACAGTATTTTATCAGTTGGAGGAATCAATGTTTTGTTTAATTTATTGACATACATTCTCATAAATATGAAACATGTAGAACATGTCAATTCTAGCTAGGTTTATGTATTGGCTATTCTCCGCGCGCAGAAAACTCCTCGCCAATTGGAAAGTCATGCATGCAAGCATCATTGTAAAAATATGTAAGTAAATTGAATCGCCTATGATAGTGATTTATTGGTGGGAAGACTACTAACAAAAACACTCATTCCCATACCGGGAGTCGAACCCGGGCCGCCTGGGTGAAAACCAGGAATCCTAACCGCTAGACCATATGGGAGTCTACATTCTTAGTTCGTCAATGGCGTTTTCAATGTACTAAGCAAAGGCAATAACAGTGACGTAACCATGACGGAAGGGTGAGGGAGCTCCGTTGGTAGGCCCTGTCACACACACACACTAGTAAGGAAATATTGTCTGAAAAATCATTTGCGTAAAACAAATAGAGGAAGTGCAGGACAGAGATAGAGAGATAGTGTGTGTGTGCGACAGACACAGAGAGAGAGAGAGAGTTATAACTGTTGTCCCCCCTCCTCCTCTCCTTATATTCAATCATCCTGTCCTCCCTGTTGTTATCTCCCTCCATCCCTCCGTTCTGAGTAGTCATGGTATCCATAGTGGTGGAACACATCTTTCTCTTGGTCATCGTCACTCTCATTAGCGTCCTGCAGAATGGTAAGACAATTAATACACTTTATATCAATTATTATGGTTATTATTATCAAAAATTTTATTTTACTACATGTATTATTTTATTTCAACTAGGATGTCCCATTCACATGAATAATATATTTATAGAAAGGAGACCTGGCCAAAAAGACAACTGTGGCGAAGTTACTTGCATTGTCATTGTCAGTGAGAGAATAAATAAACTTTATTGGTCTTTTTCCCAGACATATATTAAACCTAATCCTGGAATAAAAAACACTTTCAATGGCGATTTTAGTCCAGGACTAGGCTTTATCTGTGTCTGGGAAACCGGCCCTATCTCAGCTGAGTGACTATAAACGTAATATCGATTAAAATATATATTTTATTTGAACCAGGAAGTCCCACCATTGAGATAAATAATACCTTTATAAATGGAGACCCGAGGAGGATTTCCTCGCATTGTAAAGTAGCTTACTATGTGATTTATTAAGACTAATAGGCATTAGTAGTGGTGACATGTTCTTTGTTTTTCATACTGTAAAATGTTTTTTATCATTTAATCTTTCGGTTGATGCTTTGAATTGAATACCATGCCTAGCTTTTTTAAATTACGGTATATCACTTGAAAATCAAGTATTTTCCTTAGCTTCTCTGATCGATGATGAAATACATTTCTGACTGTTGGTGATGTATCTGTTGTGTTATTTACAGCTTTCTTTGCAACAAAAGTAGAGAAGGAAGGTAAAGTGCAAAACACCAAAACTTCTGCTTTTGAGAGAGTGTCTTGCGCCAAGTAAGTGACTTTCACACATGCACACACACACACACACACACACACACACTGTTATATGTACAGTTATATTCTTTCCCTGTGTATTTAGAATATTAACTAAGCCATAACCCTAACAAGGACGTTCCATTTGAACCGTGTTGAACTGTTGTTCCAGTTTGACATTATTTCCCAATGTTCTTTACTGCTTATTACATGTACATGAACGCTACTACCCCCATGTACCAAGCCATAACCTAATAATAACCAAGCCACAACCCACACAAGACTGCGTGTTTCTGTACACATTGGTTTTGTTGGCTTTGTGATAAGGGTTTTGCATATCCCATGTCTCCTTTCTCTTCCATCTGAGTAGTCGACTTTTCCATCTGATTTCCATCTCTCCTAACATTAGTAACCATCCCATGGAGTTTCCTCAAACTCCAACCAGACCAGGTTATAGCCACCCTATTTTCTATTTATAGTGCGTAACTGTTGACCAGGGCCCGTAGTGCCCGACCCTGGTCAACTGTAGTGTCATATGTAGGGTGCAGGGAGTAGGGTGTAGGAAGTAGGGTGTAGGGTGCAGGGTGTAGGGTGTAGGGAGTAGGGTGTAGGGAGTAGGGTGTAGGGTGTAGGGTGAAGGGAGTAGGGTGTAGGGAGTAGGGTGTAGGGAGTAGGGTGTAGGGAGTAGGGTGTAGGGTGTAGGAAGTAGGGTGTAGGAAGTAGGGTGTAGGGAGTAGGGTGTAGGGTGTAGGGAGTAGGGTGTAGGGAGTAGGGAGTAGGGTGAAGGGAGTAGGGTGAAGGGAGTAGGGTGTAGGGAGTAGGGTGTAGGGAGTAGGGTGTAGGGAGTAGGGTGTAGGGTGTAGGGAGTAGGGTGTAGGGTGTAGGGTGTAGGGAGTAGGGAGTAGGGTGAAGGGAGTAGGGTGTAGGGAGTAGGGTGTAGGGAGTAGGGTGTAGGGAGTAGGGTGTAGGGTGTAGGGAGTAGGGTGTAGGGAGTAGGGTGTAGGGAGTAGGGTGTAGGGTGCCATTTGGGAGGCAGCCGTCTCTCCTGACATTATAACCATCACAGAGTTCCATAAAAAACACATCAGGTGTAGTTCTTTCTGCTTACTGTGTGGAACTGCCCTGGTGGCTGTAGGGGAGGTTAGATTGGGGCTGTAGGGGAGGTTAGATTGGGGCTGTAGGGGAGGTCAGACTGGGACGGTTTCCTGTACAGATGTTAAGTCTTGGACTAAAAAGCATACTCAACGGAAACAGCCCCATTATAAGTGCTTTGTATTCCAGGACTTGGCTTAATCTCAGACCAGGAAATCGGCCCATAGGGTGCATCTCAATAGTTTGAAGTGGCTTCCTCTTCTTGTCTCCTTTCCTTTAAAAGTTCAGGTATAAAAGACGAATAACGTAGATGAAGACAGACACATGAAGGAACAGAGGATCAGAACTGTTGTTTCAATGTCTTTAATTGGAGGCCATCGTTATTGCACTGATGTACTTCCTGTACTAAAAAAAGGAAACAGTGGACCCACATCCTTTCTCTACTCTGCACTTTAGCACACACTCATATCACAACTGCTGCTACTACACTTATAATATACCATTTAGCAGACGCTTTTATCCAAAGCGACTTACAGTCATGCGTGTATACATTTTTTATTTTATGGGTGGTCCCGGGGATCGAACCCACTACCTTGGCGTTACAAGCGCCGTGCTCTACCAGCTGAGCTACAGAGGACCACTTATATTATACTGCTCAGTTTTATAAACTAAAAATGTATGCACGCATGACTGTAAGTCGCTTTGGATAAAAGTGTCTGCTAAATGGCATATTATTATCATGTGTGAAGAAACACACTCACTCAAACACACAAAGTAAAACATTTTGCAACAAAAACAAGAGTTTCTTGATGGATAAGTTCAGGAAGTTGCTGTGTGGCTGCGTTGAGTCACACATTAAATATATTTTTCTAACACCCCACCCTCCCTCCACCCCTCCTTCTTAGTGTGAGAGGGGCTGAGGATGTTGTCATCCCATTTCATCAACGTTCCTTTACTGACACACTACAGAGAGAGTCCTTTACTAACCACAGAATATGTGCAATAGATATTGTAAGGGCTCTATTCAATAGCACTACTGGGTGATCTGAAAAGTCATAAGTCAATCGATCAATAATATAATAATACTTTTAGCAAAAATGTTTATTTTCAATTTACAATCTGTAGTAACAATGAAAATAGAAGGGTTCAGAACTTTTGTGAAACATCACAGTACAGTTGAAAAATATATGGCAAATAGAAATCCAATATGAATGGTGTTAAGAGATGGGAGGTGTTGAATGGAGCTGAAGGATGGGACTAATAACAACAACTATTAACAAGAAGATAACTAATGTAAAGCATACTGTGTCCATAATCAGTATATACAGTGGGGAGAACAAGTATTTGATACACTGCAGATTTTGCAGGTTTTCCTACTTACAAACATGCAGAGGTCTGTAATTTTTATCATAGGTACACTTCAACTGTGAGAGACGGAATCTAAAACAAAAATCCAGAAAATCACATTGTATGATTTTTAAGTAATTAATTTGCATTTTATTGCATGACATAAGTATTTGATCACCTACCAACCAGTAAGAATTCCGGCTCTCACAGACCTGTTAGTTTTTCTTTAAGAAGCCCTCCTGTTCTCCACTCATTACCTGTATTAACTGCACCTGTTTGAACTCGTTACCTGTATTAAAGACACCTGTCCACACACTCAATCAAACAGACTCCAACCTCTCCGCAATGGCCAAGACCAGAGAGCTGTGTAAGGACATCAGGGATAAAATTATAGACCTGCACAAGGCTGGGATGGGCTACAGGACAATAGGCAAGCAGCTTAGTGAGAAGGCAACAACTGTTGGCGCAATTATTAGCAAATGGAAGAAGTTCAAGATGACGGTCAATCACCCTCGGTCTGGGGCTCCATGCAAGATCTCACTTCGTGGGGCATCAATGATCATGAGGAAGGTGGGGGATCAGCCCAGAACTACACGGCAGGACCTGGTCAATGACCTGAAGAGAGCTGGGACCACAGTCTCAAAGAAAACCATTAGTAACACACTACGCCGTCATGGATTAAAATCCTGCAGCGCACGCAAGGTCCCCCTGCTCAAGCCAGCGCATGTCCAGGCCCGTCTGAAGTTTGCCAATGACCATCTGGATGATCCAGAGGAGGAATGGGAGAAGGTCATGTGGTCTGATGAGAAAAAAATAGAGCTTTTTGGTCTAACCTCCACTCGCTGTGTTTGGAGGAAGAAGAAGGATGAGTACAACCCCAAGAACACCATCCCAACCGTGAAGCATGGAGGTGGAAACATAATTCTTTGGGGATACTTTTCTGCAAAGGGGACAGGACGACTGCACCGTATTGAGGGGAGGATGGATGGGGCCATGTATCGCGAGATCTTGGGCAACAACCTCCTTCCCTCAGTAAGAGCATTGAAGATGGGTCGTGGCTGGGTCTTCCAGCATGACAACGACCCGAAACACACAGCCAGGGCAACTAAGGAGTGGCTCCGTAAGAAGCATCTCAAGGTCCTGGAGTGGCCTAGCCAGTCTCCAGACCTGAACCCAATAGAAAATCTTTGGAGGGAGCTGAAAGTCCGTATTGCCCAGCGACAGCCCCGAAACCTGAAGGATCTGGAGAAGGTCTGTATGGAGGAGTTGGCCAAAATCCCTACTGCAGTGTGTGCAAACCAGGTCAAGACCTACAGGAAACGTATGATCTCTGTAATTACAAACAAAGGTTTCTGTACCAAATATTAAGTTCTGCTTTTCTGATGTATCAAATACTTATGTCATGCAATAAAATGCAAATTAATTACTTAAAAATCATACAATGTGATTTTCTGGATTTTTGTTTTAGATTCCGTTTCTCACAGTTGAAGTGTACCTATGATAAAAATTGCAGACCTCTCCATGCTTTGTAAGTAGGAAAACCTGCAAAATCGGCAGTGTATCAAATACTTGTTCTCCCCACTGTAGGTTATAGGTTGAGAGCTTTTGTGAAAGAGCACAGTTAGAAAGATATGGTATATAGAAGCAAAG